TCTAATTGTACTCCTTTATAATGACATGATCATGTAACAAAACCTTTCAACAATAGGAGGGTGACACACCTCCATGTACAGTGCCTCCCCCTATGCATTTGCACTCAAAAATTCCTGTATCTCTTTGGCATTGTGTTATACAGACGTGTTTAAGTTTCTTGTCTGTGTTCAATTTATAGAGATTTGCATTATTAAAAGAACTTTGATTTTTGTTTGAAAAGCTTCAATTTTTTATCATGAATTCTCAAATGATGGTGATTTATTAGTCCTGAGTGTGAGACATTGTTCACACATTGGTCTCATTTCTGCTATGGCTTTTGGAGGCTCATTAATTCTCAAGATTATTGCAGCTAATGTTCAACATGTTGTGAATTACCATATGGTTAATGGGCCCACTACTCCCATCTTGTCAGCTGTATTTCTTTCTCCTTAATTGTGAATGATCTATTAAACTAAGACATTCGTCTGATTTGCTTTGTGTAGTACTTTCCCATTCATGAAATGTCCTTAACTTTTAAATATTTTTCTGGATTTCATTTTCATGTATGTACCTTTCCTTATCTTTTGCCTGTGTTCTTTATTCCTTTTTTGTTTACTCCCTTTCTGACTCATGATTCTTGGGTTTCTCTTGTCTTTTCTCCTTGCTTGTTATTTGGTTCTATACTGTTTCCTTTGTCTGATAGCTCCTTTCTCAAACCCAAAAGCCTCAACCCCTTCACATTTGTGACTCCTTTTGTCTTGATTTGTAGACTTTCTTTCCTTCCTTTTCCCAATTCCCTATCATTGGTATCTATCTGGCCAGCTTTACCTTCTGTCTCACTTTCTAGTTCCCTCATTTTCGAGCTCAGTCAGTGTTTGGTACTTTTCTTCTTCCCTTGTCTCAATCAAGTTCAGCCTATTTTCTTCATGTGTTAGCTATGGCATATCTGGTCACCAGCTGTTATTCTCTTCCTACATGAGAGATTATTTTGCTTTGGGGGATTTTGGCTTCCCTATAATCCCTCATTAATTTGGGAAAAGAACTAATGTACAGACCCATCGTTTTTGTTCTTGGAGTCTGTTTTCCCCTTTGTGAGCATCTCCTTGGTGTATTGTCTTGGTGATTTGACCATGCCCAGACTACTACTTGCACTTGCTTACTGCCTCTCACACGGAATCTTTCCCTTCTTCAGTGCTTCACTCTGAGGTTTTAATACTGTTCATGCATTCCTTTTAATTCACTGAGCTCAATCCTCTCTATTTTTCAGGCATGTTCCTGTCCCTACTGGTAGATCACTTGGTCTTGTTACACTCCTTCTCATACATGGTTATTTCTTGCACCAACTTCCTTTGATGCTCCTGTCCCAGGTTACTTTGTCTTAAGAAATTTGTCATACACTTCTGGGTCCATTCACATTAGGTTGACTTTCTTGCCTATCATTTGCTGAGAGCTTATATCTTGATGGGAGATCACCTATCTCAACCAGTCTGAATTCTATTGACAGAGTGGTAACAGTCTTCTTTGATACATTTGCTGCTCTTCACAACTCCAGGCTTCTTCCCTTTTGGTCTGGTATTCCCTTTTTCTATATCTCCATTTTGCTATTCATCTATTCCCCCTGACTCTCATCTTTACACACTTTCCTTCTCAAGTTCTATTGTTGACACCTCCTTGGTCAGTTCATCCTTAGTCTGTTACCATTTACACCTCATCCTTTCCTCAGGATTCTATTTTACTTCATACTCATGTGTTCATTTTTCTATGAGAGTTATCTTCCCTCTTCTATGTGCATGGAATTTGCCCAATCTTTCACTTGTCAGGCTGGACTTTCCACTTTTATGTCATTCCTCTTGTCACATTCTTGTTGTCCTTTCACCACTATTTTTGGCAAGTCTTTTGTTATCTATCTTTCTGTCACTCCTTTCATCCTGGCAGTCATCATGTGGCCATCTTTTTGTCTCTTTTCCTTGACAGTTCATCATGGGCTTGTCAGTCTGTACCCTCACTAATTGTCATGAGGCTTTGTCTGTAGCCATTCTCCTTTCCTGGTACCATGAGGTGTTTTTTTCCCCTGTCCTCTCCACTCTGTTTTGCACCTTTTTTATTCTCCATCCTGCTCCAATGCCTGAATGAAACCTAAATTAGGTTTACATGATCTGGTTGATGCCCAATTCAAGCTGTTGACTTCCTTCCTTTTTTTACCATCTCTTTATCCTGGCTTGTTTCCTCCTCCTCTTCTTCTACTATTACTGCTGTTCAGATGTCTCTCCTATGGTTGCTTTTTGCACCCTCTTTTACCACACTTTTATATCACTTTTCCTGATCTATTCTTTCCTTCCTCAGTTTTTAACTGCTCCAGAGGTTTCCCATACTTCTTTTCCAACTTTCTTCCTTCTGTCTCTCACTTATTGAACCATTCAGACCTGGATTGGCTCCCATGACTTTCACCCATAGCTGGTGTTGGTCCAATAAAGTCAAACAGTAGAGTTGAAGTGAACACACAAGGTATGGTCTGAGCATGCCCCAACCACACTACACATATTGGCTCTCTGATCTATTATGTGCAATTACTTGGAACAGCCACATTCTTATTCCATCCATCCCTATGAAACATGGGGTTTGTTTGCCTATTCCTCCCTTTCTTCCTTAGTGAATAATATACTCTGGATGAAATGAGATGCAGTCTCTTATGGGTGTGACCCTATGGAGCCTCTGCAATCAGGTGTCACACTTCATGGTATTCCTTTGGGCACTTTCTGAAGGGAATTTATCTACAGTGCCTTGCAAAATTATTCACCCCCTGCAATGTTTCCACATTTTGTTGCCATCTGAGCTTGCAATCATGAAACTTTCAAATGGGACTTTATATTAAGAATCTACACAATCTACTCCAAACTGAGAAAGTTAGAAAAATGCTGATATTATGTAAGTAAATTAGGTTTTCAAAAAAATTAGAATATTCTTAATTGCATAAGTATTTAACCCCTTTGCTACAACAACCATAAATCAGTTCAGGTGCTGAAGATTAGTTTGAAAGGTCACAAAGTTAGTGTAATGGTCTTTGTCTGTGTTTCATCAAAGTGGTTTAACTTGACTTCAGAGTAAATGTGTCTGTTCAAGCCACAACTCACATAGTGATATGACAAATCAACCATGAAAACCAAGGAGCTTTCCAAACAAGTTAGGAGTAAAGTGGTAGAGAAGTATAGATCAGTAGAAGGTTACAAAAAAATATCAAAGTAGCTTATCCTTTTGAGTATGGTGAAGTCCATTGTTAAGAAATGGAATGTGCATCATACCATTCTGTCACTACCCATATCAGGCCACTCTTCCAAACTAAGCAGCCAGGCAAGCAGGAAACTGTTTAGGGATGAAAGATTTGAAAAGTCCCATGTATGAGATGAGAGACGGTGTTCATACGTCAACAATATCCCAGTCCCTACTCAAAGCTGGCCTGAATAGGTGAGTGGCAACAAAGAAGCCATTACTGAAAAAGAATCATCTTAAATCTCATATAGAGTTTGTGACAAAGCATGTAAATGATACTGCAGACATGTGGCAGAAGGTTTTATGCTCAGACAAGAAAAATTGATCTTTTTGGTCTAAATTCAAAGCGTTACATCAGGCGCAAGCCCAACACAGCACATCACCCAGTCCACACCATCCTAGCTGTCAAGCATGGTGGTGGCAGCATCATGTTATGGCAATGCTTCTCAACAGCAGGGACTGGGAATCTTGTCAGGATTGAAGGGAAGATGGATGGTCCAAAGTACAGGTGAATCCTAGAGGAAACCTGCTTGAGTCAGCCAGGAATCTAAAAACTGGGTCAAAACTTCACATTTTAGCAGGACAATAACCCGAGGCACAAGGCCAAAGCCACACTGGAGTGATTTCAAAAGAAGAAAGTGAATGACCTGGAATGGCCCAGTCAAAATCGTTACTTGAATCCAATAGAAAATTTCTGGCAAGACTTGAAGATTGCAGTCCATCAACGATTCCCGAAGAATGGGCAACAATGACACTATCCCATTGTGCAAAACTGGTAGAGGCCCATACAGGAAGACTCACAGAAGTAATTTCTGTAAAAGGTGCTTCCACCAAGTACTGACTTAAAGGGCTGAATACTTATGCAATCAGCAAATTTCAATTTATATATTTTCTTTGCAGGTTTTGCTGACATTCAACCTCCTTCACACATAATAGTGTTATGTTTGATCATTGAAATGTGACATTATTGGTATGGGTGAATACTTTTGCAAGGCACTGTAAGTAAAACTTTGCAACAACCCCTCCATCACTTCATTGTGGGATTCTAGCTGACTGTGTTCAGAAGCTAACATTTTCCTTGCTGAAAATGTATTTCCATAAATACTTGCCTCTACATGTACATTCCTACCCTACCCCCAGTAGCACAATGGTATGTCTGTGGACTTACATTGCTAGAAATCGGGTTTCGATCCCTGTGGTGGGCAGAGCACAGATAGCCCATTGTGTAGCTTTGTGCATAATTACAAACAAACAAGCAAACAAACAAACATTCCTACCCATCCTCGCCACTTTCATGCACCTTTTATATTCTTTGCCTTGTCAAAGAATGAATTTCTCAAGTACAAATTTATAGGGGTAGTTACTGCACATAAAGATGTGTCACCCTTCTATTGTTGTCTTGCAGTAGTGCAATTCACATTTTACCAAGTGAAATTAGGTGGGAGTTGCTTCAAGGCTAGTGGCATGCAAATTTCTTTGGCAGACCTGTGAGGAAGATAGATCACTATGTGAAGAGGCATCTAACAGGAAAATGTCAATTTTTATCAGTAAGAATTAAAAAAAAATACAATTATATCAAAGGTATTCTCTGAATAAAATAGCATTAAGTTAGACAGATCTCCATTGCATGATTTGCAACTTTCTAACTTATAAACTGGGTTATGTATTTTAAACAAAAAGCATCATTCCATGAAAACTAATGTAATTTTAATTAAAGTTGTAAAATAGTTAATCTATTTAACTTTCTTGAAAGGAGGAAGACTAGTTCAACCACCATCATCACCTGGAAGAAGAGGAAATGTAAGTTTTTATTTTATACATAACAAATCCTAGATGTAGCTGTAATATATTGTGTTTTTACAGTTAGCAAGAGTCAGTTTGTCGTGTTGCTGTTTGTGTCTGACTAATTAATATATATGTGTGTTGTTATCCATGTTATTACCTAGTTGTATATGTGTGTGTAATTTTCTCACATACAAGATGTCTTTATGTTGTATTTATCTGATACTTTTTTTCATTGCTCTCTTGGTAGATGTATTTTTTCAGACCAGTAGTTTTATTATTATTATAAAGGTGGTCACTGTTATACTGTTAACCCCACAAGTTTCCAAGTTTATCATTATATATATCCAATGTATTTATATAGCCACCAAGAATACGAAAGAGAAACAGGTTAATTTATAATGATGATGAAGACACATCATATAGCCTTTCCAAATCATCTCCAAGAAAAAATCCTCGTGTTTCATCACCTGTAAGTATCATTTCACTTTGTTCTCTATTGCAATACTTATTAAGCTTTCTAATGTCAAGATAAATATGTTTTGTAAAGTTTAATCATTTAGTTTTAAACTGTTATTTGGAGATATATATATATATTTCATTAATGAGTTGTTATTGACATTAAATTTGTTTTAAAATATTCAAGTATTTCTTACATAAAAGCTTCAATATTGTATCTGCAACAACTAAGCCTCTTGTTTCAGTTCTGCTAAGAGTTGATTGCATTTTATATGAACAATATTGCAAGTCCCATGCTGCACTAGGAACTTCTTCCCTCATCATTTATCAGACTCAATCTGGTGACACTGTTTATATGCTATTGCCCAACACCACCCTTTTTGTTCTAACAAACTTCTTGGAAGGACATCAACAATGTCAGTCTTAGCATACACATCCTGACAACTTTCCAAAGACCCTCCAATATTCAAGGATGTCAATTTGCAAGACTATTTTTAAGGAGACCAAGGGCACAAAAAGTCCAATGGAGCTGCAATTTGGGGCTTTACAGGTATGTGCTAAAAATGGGAGTGTTGTGATTCTAGTTTTTTCAGCCATTTTCCTCATGAAAATAGCCATTGGTTTTAAGATGTGGTCAGAAATTTTGAAATTTTTGCTTTTGAGTATTCATCAACTTGGAGTTCTTGTTAATTATGATGTTTACAGCACCAAGAGATATCTCCAGCTTCACCACAATGGTATTTATGTCATAGAGTTTTCTTTGATAATCGTAGACTTCGCTTTGCTAATTATGGTATCAGTTTAGGTTCACATAGTGTTTTGAATGCTGTTACTGTTCTAAACACTTTGCTGTGTGAGTTTTTATACTTTTATATAGAGCATTGAAGGTTTATTTCTTCAGAATGTTGTGCTCTTTGTTTGATCAGTAAACAATCTCACTATCTGTCCTTGGAAAAGGCTGTAACATACAGTAAACTATTTTCTTTTGTTGAATGTTTAAGAATTTGGTGTGATGAAAATGTATACATATGTGTTTGCTAAGCATGTTGTTTTCAGTGTCACAGGTAACATCTCAAAGCTGCCACATTTCTTTATTGCTCTGTTTCAGGTCTTGATCTTTATTTCAAGTTTGATCAGCAGTTTATCTTTTCACTGACATAAGCTTAGCGGTATTAATTTCTGTGAATGATGTAGAAGTCTGAAGCTAAAGATGTTTTCTTTACGGAGTGTTTTGTAGTGTATATAAACATTACTTAAAACTTAGCATTGTTCTTGATTACATTACTTAATATGCTTTAATTTGCCTTGGATTGGAGATCTTTAAATGATGTTTCCAGTTCTGAACCATGTATGCTGACATTTTCAGTAATTACATTTGAGAATGTAATTACTTGTAGCAATACCATAGTAAATAAATGGGACAGGAAATACCTGTCCAGCTGACAATAGCTGAATAAGAAATACATATATTATTTTACCATCTTCTAAGGCAAGTACACATAGGTGAACACTGTTGTTTAACTGATCATTTTGATACATATTTCTCAAATATTAAACTTAAAAATGATAGTCTTATTAGCTATATTACCAGCAGGTTGTGGGAAAAGTTACAAATGTTCTTATTTTGACAATTTGTTGCATAAATACCATACAATGTGTTTCCATTGTAGGGCACCTGAATTTAATACAACTCCATTGCTTCCATAATTTTGGGGATGTAAATCTATCCAATTTATTAATTTCACTGTCTATGGGTGTTAAAAGTTTGCAGTATAAGTTGAATAGCTTTACTACATGGGTTAACTTACCTGAGAATGAAACAAAGGAGATGGTGTTCAATCACTATTTCTGTACTTTGCCAATAACACTGTAGTTAATCAATTTGAATGTGTTGGATTATTGCAGTGTAAATACAACTGTATTTGAATGTTTTATGTTCAACTATAGGTTTTGCCTTAAATCATAAAGTTAAATTCAATAAGCCCAAATTATTTGGAGGTAGTAGTAGTTTCATTGGTCATTTGGGTAGTGGTTCCAAGTCCTCCTTTGCTCCTAAATCTGGTTGAAGTTGCCAATCAATTCCAAGAACAGGTACAAAGTCCAGTCAGTTAGGTTATGGTGCTCCTGTTTGTCATTATTGTAAAAGTAAGGGTCATGTAATTTCCGAATGTTGGACTGTGAAAGCAAAGAATAAAAAGGTGTCACCTAGTGCTCCTGTTTCCTTGCATAAGTCACTGTGAGTCTGAACCTGTGAGAAAAGAATTTATGTCAGAGGGTTTTGTGTCCATTAGTAAGGATAAGTCTAATCCTATGCCTATTAATATTCTTTGGGATACTTGGGTTACTCAGTCTGTTATAGCAGGAGACATTGCCTTTTTCTAGTGAGTCAACCACTGATGAATTTATTTTAGCTCAGGACATTGAGGGTAGCTTTGTGAATGACCTCTGCATAAAGTTTATTTACAGTCTGACTTAGTCTCAGGATTTGTTACCGTAGGTGTTAGGCCTACTTTACCAGTTAAGGGAGTATTTTTGCTTCTGGGTAATGACTTGGCAGATAGTCAGGTGATTACTGATCCTGGTGTTGTTTCAAAGCCAAGTCCTTTTGAGGATGGCAAATTTGTTGAGGCAGAAATGTCAGATTTATTTCCAGCTTGGGCAGTGACTCGAGCGATGGCCAAAAAGGCATCAGTATATACTTAAAATTTAGCAATGATTAAAGTTGTATTACAGGATGATTTTATTGATTTGTCAGATATATTTATGTCCCATAATGAGAACAGTGATCATCCTTCTATTATCAAAGACTCTCTCAGAGATAAAGTTTGTAAGGTGTCTCACAGGCAAAGTAGTATGAAGGTTGAGTTGTCTTTGAAGGGTCGGCTTCTTTTAGAGCAGGGGGAGAGATCACGAGATTGCCTCTTTGTGAATAAGGCCCTACCTATGGATGAATTAGAGACTTTCCCTGTACAATATTTCATTAAAGTTGGTGTACTCATGAGATTGCTGTACTCATGGATGAATTAGAGAATTTCCCTGTAGAATATTTCATTAAGGTTGATGTACTCATGAGAAGATGGCATCCAGCTGATATTCTTGACAGTGAAGAGTGGGCTATTGTATATAGATATGAGATAATGAGACTAGCACATGAGAATCTATTGGGTGTGAACAAAACA